CCCCCACCCCCACCAACATTGTTTGGGATTTAACAAATTAAAATCCCCTAAAATAATGTAATATTTTCAAATAACATTTGAGAATTTTAGAATTATATTTTACCATTGAGATATAACATATATTTATATCCACTCTTTGTTTTTCAGGAGCATTGATTGGGGAGGTGAACCAAATAAAAATTGTTACAATGAAACAAAAATGATAGAGGATCCAAATTATTGGGGATCAGATAGTAGAAAAAGCATAATGCAAGTGATTTCACAAGAATTTGGCAAATCAAAATTGCCAATTTCATTTCTCAATATTACACAACTCTCAAGTTATAGAAAAGATGCACACACAACAATTTACAAGAAGCAATGGAATAAATTAACACAAGAGGAACTAGCAAATCCATTTAGCTATGCTGATTGTTTTCATTGGTGTTTGCCTGGCCTTCAAGATACTTGGAATGAACTTTTATTCACAAAGCTCTTTTATCCTTAGAAAATTTTATGGACGATCATGAACAGTTCGTGTTTAGCTAATCAATTTGAAAAAATATAACACTAGTGTATTTGGACATGGTCGTCCTTTGTATATACGTATTTTTAGGCAATCGACTTTGATAAAATTAAATTGGTTTTCTTGTGAATGTGTGAACATATATACAAAGGACCGAATCATGTCCAAATACACTAATGTTGAGGAGTAAGTCCCCTTCTCTGAGGGTCGATCTAGATGTATGTATGTCAGTCGATCATGAGAATTCAATAGTTTTTGTTCATGATATATCTATATTATAAGAGAAAATTTAATAAATAACGTCTTTAAGAGGTTATATTACTAGTCCTAACAGTGATTTAATGTCGCTAATATAAGAATTTATAAACTTTAAATTCTGAATCCGTTTCTGCCATTTTCTAATTCTAATTAACATTTAACCATCTGATCATTACAACTGGAAATCATTCATGATTCAATGACTAATATTTGAGCTACCTTTTTAATTTTTCTGGTGCATTACAAATAGTCAAATACTTCAGTCAAGAACAATATCTAAAACTAGACAGATATCAAAAGAAATTCTAAGTATGTATTTGTAAAAATATGACTTCAATTGTAATTTCTTTGACTATCGAGTGATAGACATATTAATCACTCCATATCAATTTAAAAAAAAAAATAATGACAAGATTATATCCTTGAATAAATTAATTAGGTATAAACCACATACATGAAACTAAGATAATTGCTTACCTAAAATCAATTTTAGCAATAGCACAATAATGGAAATTGATATTTATCACAAATTCAACGAACATAAAGCTAGTATATCATTCATATATTCAAATTGTAAAAATATATATGACCTAATTTAGTAAGTTGATGATCTAGCTTAAGTACAATGAATCTTATTCAACTCTTCATTTTGCAATGTGTTAAACGTGTTATAGAGGCTTCAACATAAGATGTACTCCCCAGATAGGATACTTAACGTGTTAGCTTCAACATAAGATGTGACATAGTGATCCTTAGATAGGATACTTAACGCGCACTAGTCGTATAAGAATGACTCTTGAATTTTGACTTCAAATCCTTAATAGATGGAATTGCCTCCTTCTTTGCCCATCTTTAGAAAAGTTCATTTTTATAATTATCTATTCTTATTGCTAAGTTTGGTTGTGTTTTTGATTACTTACTCATCCTATCTCCTTCCATCTTCTCCATCAGTCACATCCTTGGCCAACTTGATTTGGCCAAATCCTAAATCATCAAGTAAGTTTGATCAACACCTTTTTGTCTTCTAATTAATATTATTATCAATTTTTATTATATTTGAATCATTGTTGGTCATATCGTTCTTTATCGAGAAATTTAAGAAGCTATAAAATGGCTTCTCATGCCAAATCATATCGTAATTCTCAAGGTAATAAACACGATTATCTTGATAGTCTGAATTCGAGAAGTATGTTAATCTAGACACTCTCCAACTTGATCGATCCAAATAGAAAAAAAGGAAATCTAATGGTAGAATTTGATCGTTTGTTATTCCAAAATTTGGTCACATAAAATATAACTATGTAAAAGTGACCACCCATAATAATAAGTGGATTAATAGTGTTTTGAAAAAATAAAGAAAGTGATATGCTATAACATGTTAAATTATACTGATAGTGCATGTGTGATATCTTTTATCGTCGTTGCACATAAATTAAATCCATTTTCTTGGAGATTCTTGATTTTGAGTTGTTTGACTTTGTTTTTTGTTGTGTTAGAGAAGAACAAGGATTATACATTGCCACCATTTGCAATTGGAGAAGGTGAAAAAGATTGCAATTTATTCAGTGGAAAATGGATTTGGGATGAGTCAAATAGGCCTTTATATAATGAATCAGAATGTCCATATTTACTTCCTCAAGTGACTTGTCAAGAACATGGCAGGCCAGATAAAGACTATCTCTATTGGAGATGGCAACCTAATGACTGTCTTATTCCCAGGTTTGTAAACTTTTTTGTTAGTTAATGAGTTTAAGTGATCATATATACCGTCTGGGGCAGTGCGGTGCACAAACCATTCAATATTTATATTGCAGGGTCTGGGAAAGAAGGAAAGAGCCGCACCCCAAGGGGTGTGAGGTAGAAAACTTAAACCTAATACAAAGCATTAGTATCTGTTTCCATAGCTCAAACTCATGATCTATAGATCACAAACAGACAATTTTACTGTTGCTCCTAGACTCCCCTTCAAGTGATATACAACGCCATAATTTAGGAATTTTTTTATATTATCAAATCATTATTACCTATATACCGCCGAGGATAGCTCAGTATACAAAGCATTTTGCGTTCACGCACAGGGTTTGGGGGAGGGCATGCACCCCAAGGAGTGTGATGT